TCCGGAGTGCGATTTCCTTAGTTAAATGAAAGTCACAGAGACATTTGCTAATTCGCAAATGAACGAACCATTGAGAATCATACGGAAGTTTGGCTTGCAAATTCAATTAAGAGATCGCGCGAATGATGGCTGGATGATAGTATTAATTCTGCATTATAATTAAATAAAGTGTACACCGGAAATTGAATATTTTTTATCTGCCACTATTTATATTTGTGACAACTAAGCTTTACGACAATTCGTAATAATAAATGTAATAAATAAATAAGACTTTAGATAAATAAACAAATTGCCACTTTTCACGCAATCTATTTTATGCGCTTTGTAGAAGGACAAAAGTGCCTTTTGCACGCCGATAAAGCACCTTTTGTACGCGCGCATTGAAAAATAAGGATCCATTTTCAACGGTTCGATAGATAATTTCATCAATATTTTTTCTATCGCTATTTTTCTTTAATACATTTTTGCCGTTCGTATTGCCGTTCCTTTCGTGCTCGACGGAAGAATCCAGATAAATCTAATAACAGAAGCTCTCGCAATGGTATGTATATCCGTGAATTTATTTGCGGATAGACGGCGATTGCGCGTGTATTATCCCAGATAATCGAAGGTAAACTCATTAACCCACATGCTCCGGTTAAAGTTCGCAGAGCTGTGGGCGCCTTCAATTAACGTGAAGTCAGGTAATCATTAGGCGGCATTTAGCTCGCGAGATCGGGTCACTCGTGGGCAGATAATAAAGACGCATGTAAGTCGGACTGTTTACATGGCCTGAATAAGTCCCAATCGTAGGTCCGTCAACATGCACAAACATATCGTGCGACACATGTAAAAGTACGTGAAGTAAAATATTCATACGATATAGCGAGTAGAGTGTGAATAATCATAGTTGTAGATCAGCATTCTGAATAACGATACGAGAAGCACTCACTTTAGTAAGAAATATGTTGATAAAATTAATGATATCCCTGTGGTATCTATTACATGCATCTGTGATTTTATTTTATGCAATGTAATGCGCTTCTCTGGTCTCTTGTTTGCTGTTTTCATGCAATATATAGCGCACTTCAAATATTTTATATTTTTATATTTTTTATTATATTGATCGAAGGAAGTGCGTTATGTATCGCATAAAAATAAATATAAAATAAAATGCGATGTGACATTATTTGCAACTGCATTTTATCACAAACTAATTTGCGCGTCCGTTTCGTTCGTCGTGAATATTTCTGCCGCTCTCTCTCTCAACTTTCCGTAATATCTTATGAAATAGCTATTAAAAACGTTCACATTATTAATCGATATTTATAAGGCAGTTGATTAACGTCACGTAGAAGAGTCATGAACTTCATTACGGACGCGTCCTAATCCACCTAATTCCAACGTGAGTACGTCGTTAAATATGGATCTCCCCGTGGGCCTAATCTGGGATGATGGCCTGGACGAACCCCAAGTTTTGATTGTGTCAGCTCGTTCATCGTATAAATTGAACCATCCGAGTGACCAGGCTGTCGAGGTTGGCGGAGGGTCCTGGAGTTCTCTCATTCTTTCGTATTTTCGCGCGGCACATCGATCGACATATTAAATGAACCGTTGGACGGACAGAGCATAGATAAGAATCGTATTTTTTTCCTGTCAAAAAAGAAGAATTCGTAAGAACGCCTAATGTAAAAAACAATTATTACATTATAGCGGTTTTTTTTTCAAAAACTAACAAATTTGATACAATAATAGAACAAGCTACAATTTATATTTTATACAATTTGATATTGAACTCGCATTTCTGAAGTTGAGCGTTAAATGCCGAAACCTTTAATTCCAAACAACGTAAATTTCGCATACGTAAAAACTGGCGTTAAATGCATTTCGAGAGACATCATCGGAGTCGTTTCGGCGACGCATTAACGAAGAATTGGCGTCGACGATGCATCGCTTAAAGCTGCATCGGTCGGGAAATGATGCACTTTAACCTATATCGAGAATAACGGTAAAAAATGAGGCAGTTTTTAGATGGGAAGATCGCCCCCTTAAAGCATGGTCTCACTGTCGTATAGTGCGCCGCACGTCTGAAGGTTAATCTTTGGCGATAAATATACCGTGACTGAAGAAGTAGAAAGATTTCGGCAATGCCCGAGGTGTATATTTCCCGTCAGTGCGAAATCGCATCATTATTTCCGAAAAGAGATAATCCACGGCTTGATAAAGACGATGTGAAAAAAAAAAACGGGATTATTCCGCGAGCATTCTTATAATTAGTATCTTTGCGCTAATTAAGATCTCGGGTAAAGGAAACAAGTTTAAAATGAATCAACTACTTATAACATCGTGAAAAATATATATATATATATATATATATATATATATATATATATATATATGATAAAGTTATTATATCTCTAACCTTTCACTTCCTTTTTTAATTAACTTCTACTGCTCTCCTTTTAGATCACTCGTATCTATTGTATTATCCCCAAAGCGTCATAGATTCTTCAGATCTCGACCTCCCTTTATTTCGAATTTTTTGATTTTTTAATTTTCTCGTGTTATAGAAGCACGTTCGTTTGGCGCGCCAACAGAATGTTATAGGTCATCCTGTAAGAACAGACAGAGCATTCTTTCTTTAGCTGTCTCGGGGCTAAGAGCATACCCCTCCTCTTCTGCCGCGTTGCTATTAATCTCTTCCTGAGTATCAGACAAATCGACTGCTCCGACCCGCTTTTGTCTTTTCCAAGGAACAGTATTACGAAAGAATCCGGGATTCTGCGATAATAAACGCTTCGCGTGCGCTATAACTCCGCCTTTTTTGCCTCCGACAAAATACGCAAAATGATTCTCGAGTTAACATTATCGCGCCATATAGGTCAATAAAACACGCAGTGTGTGTGCGCGCGTGTGTGTGTGTGTGTGTGTGTGTGCGCGCGTGCGAAACTTGCGTGCTCCTTGCATGATAAAGAATTGTATTCACTGGTGTCAATCTGTCCGTATTGTTTCGTGCTCGTTTCTCTCGTCTATAAAATGAATGCCGCATGTCCATAAATTGTGCCGGGTGTATTCACGGCACACTCGTAAAATTGAAACAAAATTTCCCGAATGTGCCATCAATTCATATACGAAGCATCGTATATTAAACGTATATTAAACGCGACGTAATGGTTACTTCCGTTTCGATAAAAAGTTGAATACATCGTTTATAATAGTTAACGGCAGCGTTTTCTGAATATTAATAGGTTCAGGTTCAATGCGGTATTCTGATAACGCCGGAATGGAATCTCGTCGGAATACGCGATGGGAGATCCATCCGATTGATTTATTTAAAATGCGCAGATTCGTACGTATGGAAGTTGTCGAAAATGTTATTGCACATGCAAAACTCTCAAAGAAACTTGGATACAAAGCTATACAATGCGAAGAATACGCGATTACTAAAGACGAAAAAATTCTTTTCGAGTGCAGTCGCAGTTGAGAGAAATATGGTACGCATAAAGCGCGCCGTAGATACAGAGACTCGGCAATATAGATGCAATCACGAAGCTCTTGCATACTGAAAACGTATAATACCGCTGTTTTATCGCGTTCCTCGGTAGAGCGCAAAGCACATAATGAGATTGAACCTGGCAAGCGCGAAAGTTCGAATGGCACACTTTCGCATAACTGCGCCATCGTGATGTTAAGTATTCGGTTGTTCCGCGACAGAAAGCACGAGAGGACTCGAGTTTATGCGATGTAAGAGGATTTATTAGCGACATTATTTTCGTGCCTAGCAGTCTGTGGCTCGCGGTTACATTTTTCTTCAGAGAGCGCGAGGCGAAAAATGTTTAATAATTTACTCTGACGTTACTGTTCGCGGAATCGTTACGCATAAATCACACACGTGCGAAACGAACCTATGCATTCGACTGACGGAAGATTCGAGTACACTCGCAAATCTGACTCGTGGAAAGTGTTTTTTTTTTTAATTACACTGTCCAACTTGTAAAGAATTTTCCACAGACGAATAATACTTCAGTAAATCATACTTTTATCTCTCGCCAATAAGTAAATGTAAAGGGAACATTTTCCGTGCCAAGAATATAAAATTTGCAGTTTTGCGATCTCCGGATATTCGTGGAAAGTTAATGATTCTCTTTGTCAAAACAGAAAAAAAGAGCTTGTGCGTTGATGCGTTACTTTGAAAAGTCTTCCAATTAACGTCTATGAATTTGTGCCAAATGTAACGCAGACCGTTCAATTGAAATGCTACGTTGCTCAATAAAATACCACGAAATATCAGATTCCTGAAAATGTCACACAATGCATCCAATGTCAAGCCAATGTCAAGCTGATTGTTACTGTACACATCACGATATCATGTTAATATATTGCTTGCAGCTAGCTGTAAGACTGCTACATGTCAAGATATTTCTCCATTTGCGCTAATTATAAATGCGGCAACGACTGTTCCTCTATTCACGCGAAGCGATGGATTTGCATATTAACGCAATGCATTTAGTAACTGATATTGTTGTAACGACTTTACCAGTGTATAAGTTATCAGATTAGAAGAAAAGTAGTTAGTCGCCAGTTTTAACAATTTGCATAAAGGATACAATTTCTCAAATTCGAAATAATTTTATTCAAGAGACATAAAATTAATATTTTCTAAGTTTTTTTTTTCAATATTGAAAAATGTAGAACTAATGGTTCAATATTGAAAAATGTAAAACTAATGGTTTCTCGATGAAAAATGTTGAGCAAATTATTTTTTAATTTAACGTTATGATAAAATATCCAGACAATTTGTTAAAATTTTTCCGTAAAAGGTTTTAAATTTATCAGAAATCTTCAAAGAGGACATAGAAGACACAAGTTTTGCTTTCACACAGCTCTCTTCGCAGCAAATGCTGACTTAAGATTCTGATGAACGTTTTCCACCCTTCCGACGTCATCAGGATAAGAGAACGCCGAGGCCGATAAGAGCAGCCTGGTATTTCGCGACAGGTCGCGGTCTGGTGTGTCGGCGCCGATCTGCGCCTCACGTCGGATTCTCCGCCCGCACCCTCTCGCTTGGGGGTGCGTTCAGTCAGCTCCGAGCCGCGAGTGGGGTAAGTTGCGCTGCGCGCCGGCTCGCTGGCCCTTCGCTGAACGAAGCACATAACGCCGCCCCGCGCGCACCTCACATTCTCGTCCGCTGATAACGAGAAACACGACCCCTGAACGATCGGCGCATCGTCGCGCGCCGATTCAACCGGCGCGACGCGACGCGATCGCGAGAACGAGAACGCGGGTGAATGTATCGTGAACACGAGCGCGTTTCGTGAGCCTTCTTCCTTACAGTTGCTCTCGCGTGTAATTTTTCTCTCGCGGAGAAATATATATCACGCGCGGAGGAATCTTCGCCCCTACTTATGACGACGACGAAAGAGAACGATACCGGTGGTAGAGTCGCGCGTCGCATGTGAACGCGAGCGGAAGGCTTCGTCATGCTCAGGTGAGTTCTCATTTTCTTCCCATTCGATCTAGTTTTGCGACGTGACTGTCACTGCGCAATTTCTTATGTAACGTAACCACGGAAGACCCCTTGAGGTGGAAATGTTTCGCTCTTATCGAGTTTTGCAATCACGCTGAAAGTCGATTCTCGTTAGGTTGATTCTACATTTCGCACGTCAACATGATTTGATTAATTTAGAATTTGCTGTTTTCCCGATGTAAATCTTGAAGCAGCAAACAATTTGTGCGTTTCGAGCGGTTGACAATCTAGGGCTTTCAATAAATTAAATTTTATAAGTACAAAAAAATAAAAACCATACACTTTGTTTCAGCGCATTTTGCTTCAACCTAATTTTTAGTTATAATTTAATGGCATTTTCAAAGATTCTTATCTGGCTATAATATATCGCGTGATATTATATTGTTACATATATTATTATGACATGAACATTACTCTTCATTTTTCAAAACAAAAATCACTTCACAAGTTCCGAGCTGATTGTTTGTCAAGTTTTAAGCGGGAAACATGGAGAAGCTTTTTAAAGGAAGTTTGTCACTCAATTCCGCATTTACATTCTCGCGCATCTTTTTTTTTTAGAAAGTTTGTGCACACTGGCGACTGGTCGTTGACTCCGTTTCGCAAGACAGTTTCTTTTCGTTTAGAACAAAGGTCGGCACCTCTCCAAGTTTCTCGGGAAAGAGAGGGATCCGTCCGTGTATTGCCAGCACGTAGTCAATTCTCGATTACGGATGTTAGAATGGGAAAGCACGATCGACGAAAGATTGAGCAAAGTGTTGAACGCGAATCGGGGCTCAGAATTACGACAGCGCGAGCAGATCTTTCAAGTGGGTCAACAAGTTGAATATTCTGCAGGTTGAATATTCTGCTCGGTTTTGTATTCTGGAGCTGTTAGCACATTGTGATACGATGATAACAAGAATCGACGACGTGAGGAGCAATTCTAACTTTCGTCTCAGAAGTCTGACAAAAATTTATAATTATGAATGAGTAATTAATGCTTGTTTTTTTTAAGCTTCCTTCTTAGATAAAGACAAAAATGGTATTATATTCAGAAAAATTCATTATTTCACTGTATCCCATCATTCAAAATATTTTGTAAATTAAATTTTGACAGAGCTTAAGAGTTAGAACTACTTGTTGGCGCTGCTAATATTTATAAATGTTTAATATTTACACAGATTTCGGTCTGTGTGATCAGGTCATCTCAGTGTAATAAAGATTTACATGCTATTACAGGCCGAAACATTTGCCAATATTTGTAAATATAATATTAGCAGCATGAATAACCAGCTCTGGCTCTTAATGTAAAATTTATTACAATTTCTTTTGGATCATTAAATCGATCTTTATTTTGTAAATTATTTTCTAAAACCTGCTTGAGAGAATTAGCAGAAAGAATTACGTCGTAGAAACAAAACGTTTTAATATGTTTAATTTATTCGTTCATGGAAAAACCAAGATTTCTTTAATTTAGTCATTATACTCGTCATCTTTTTTTCCGGCTCGTTGACGCAAAAAAAAAGAAATAAGATGAGATCACGTGCATTAGTATTCAGTTCTTCTGACACATTCATAATGCCATGAAGTATGCGCGGCTATACGTCACGACAAATTACTCTAAAAGCCGCCTGCGATACTACAGCTTTCTACGTCGCTAATGCTTGTATTGCTTTTTTTTTCACAAATGAGCCGCGCTTCTTCGCCCCAAAAACTTCCTAACTTATTAAAGACTCATTTAAATATTTCTGTTTCATTTCGCGCACGGCTTCTCTTTAAAGAAAAGTGACATTTTACAAATATTCTTTTGTTAAAGTTTCGGACAATTCTCGGCCACGGATAGCACGTTTTACGTTTTAATATTTACAAACGATACTTACTCACAAGAATTCGCACGTCGTATAACGCCGTGGCCTTTATATATTATTCGGCGTCCGAAGATTTATCATGAAGTCCACGAGTGAATAGTAAGGCAATTCGAGCTGTTTGCGCATACATCAATACAGATTGGGTTTAAATTAACAATGACAATAAAATATTATAGAGAACACCATCCGCAGATTTTATCTTACGCAATATTGTTAAAAAAACGTGTGAATATTTTATATAATTTTATTCATATTTCGCAATAACAAACTACTTAGAAATTACTTTCTCTTTTATCCTTTTACACTCAAAAAAATGATCTTGCAATAATAGCTAAAATTTTCTAGGTGTAAAAAATTAACTAAAACAGATAAATGATTAGCAACTGTTGTGATATTGCATATGTAATTACTTAATCAGTTTAGATGACAGAAACAGAATATATATCTGTATTGTTTGTGAACTTTAAAAAGAAAGTTTCTCTAAAGCGCCTATCTGTATAAGATCAATCACGTGTTAGATCATGCAATGAATAACATTTAGCAATGGTACCTAAATTTTTCAGAAGCTATTGCTAGAACATTACTGCTATAAATTCTATATGTGACAAACAATGTTTTCACAGATACGAAAAATAGCGATACATTCTTGTTGCGATATCTAGAAATCTAACTACATCAGTGAAATATTTTTTTGAGTGTATGTAAAAAAGCGAATTATTATATAGCTGGAGCTTAATGATACGTTTGTAGAGTCGTGAAGAAATGTACAGGTTCGAAGGTATGTACACGTGTACACAATTGCATCGCAGGGATTTGCGAATATGAAAGTAATGTTAAAAATGAACCGATCAATTTTGTGTTCTATTCTTGCTGCAATTGATTGTGGGTGCCGTCGAACGCACCATTGAAACGACAAGGGATTTGTTCTCTCTTTTTTTTTTGTTTGTCGCTTTGTACTTATCGTTCGGGAAGATTTTATTACGCCCCTGGTAAAAAAAACATTTCGCAGGTTGCAAACCCGAGGTCTTATCCACATAATATATGCGACGCTTTCATAATGCAGAAGTTTACATTTCTTGGCAACCCTTACAACGCTCTTATAATCCCAGGAGAACCTACAGATGACACTTTTCAACGGGACTTTATTACATCCATGGTCGCATCCTGCATCGCCGGTATATCTTTCCTTGCGCTAAGTTCTATTTTCGTTGCGCCATATCGATCTCCGCTTACGCCATTTGAAGCCGCACATCGCGTCGTTGGCCGTACGGTTCTCTTTTGCAAATGACAAAATTAAGCGGAGTCACTTGTCGCGTGCTAGAGAAAAAAAAGGAGAAAAATGAAGCGCGACGTTAATATCCGGGGAGATAAAAACGGAAATACGCAAATCAGCACTGGTCATATTTTACGCGGAATGCTCGTTTCGCAGAGTATGCAACGAGTGTGCAAGAATATCACATATCGCCGGCGTCAAATAAGATGCGTATAAACATTTCTGATTTATTAATATATATATTTAATCTTTTTGATATCGAGTGTTTATTTCCGCATTTTAGAAACGATAAACCGTATATTCGGAAAATTGTTTATTTGTAGTAAATGTCAAATGCGCTGTTATGACTCTTCTGTTCTTTTTACGATAGTACTTATAGCAGTGTACAGTTTCGTAACAACTTCGCAACTTTCTGCGAAATTATCTGTGAAAGTAGTGAAAACTGTCTAGCTATAAAAACATTTTTTTATTTCCTCTTTTTTTTTAATACTAGAGTTATTTCACGTTAGAATAAATATGTCTCGAAATGTGTCATGTGCTCGACGTAGGAATCAAATTTAAAAATTCCCGAGGTAGCTGCACACCGTCGCGTCCGTCGAGTCGACTCTGTCGCAGCAGTTCAACTTGATAATTAAACCGATGCGGCTGCATTAATGGATAAGCTCACAGATGCATTGTGCACGACTTATTTTCTTTTAAGTAATTATTCACGCCCTAATTAACGACACCTATAAAATTTCCCATTTTTAGAATTTTGATATAATTGATAAAGTGCTTTAATTATATCGCATTTACAAAATTAATATTTTTTTAATTAACTGCCAATTACGCGATGTCCATGTGTTTAAGCACTTTTCAAGTTCAATTCGTCGGAATGTTGCAATATTTTTATACTAATTTTAACATCATGAGGGGAGCTACAAGGGAAGAATAGCCTGCATAATCATAAGATAAATAAATAGAATCATACATAAATAGGATAAAAACACGTTCCGCGTCTTTGGGAAAATTCCACGAACACGAAGGAAATCCAGCGGAAATCCAACAATCGTCGAACAGTCGAGGGTATTTACACACCAATGTTTATCTCGTCATGATTTTATCGAAATCGAATTTTACCTGCGTTTCTGCAAATTCTGTCGTACATTAAATATGAATAAATCTCTGCGCACCGTTACGCGATGGCATACAAAAGTACTGGCTAAATGTTCATCAATTAACAATAGTACAGATCGATAGTCAGATTAATTAAGTCGTTAACGGAACGCGGATATCTGCTCGCTATGGCAATACGATCGTTCCTGTTTGCTGGAATGAAGTAATTAATTGCTAACGAGTAACAACGCTCGCGGACACACGTCGACGTCGACGGTACTCGTCATTAATTGAGGATTCAATCGAAAGTTGCATCGTAGCTGCCTTGATTGCGCTTAATGCAAGTCGCACCGGTGCGTGTCCGTTTTTATCAGAATTGATTTTACCGGGTTTATAGACAACATTAAGCAGTTGTAGATAGTTTATAGGCAACATTAAGCAAAAGACCCGCGGGAGGAGAAAAAGCGTACAATTTGTTTTTACTGCTTTAATTATTCTCTTACGGACAAAATGGTTTGTTATCTGTCGGTGAGTTATCTTGACAATATAACGCGAACGCGTCGAGACTTGAGAGACCTTCCGTTTGAGAACTTGCGCTCGAGAATTTCCGACGCGACGCGCAAGTTTCGAGAGCTAACAGGAAGATTCCAATGTGCTTAATTCGGAATGCCTCTTCAAATTGCCGCGGGAATAAGTCGACTCTGGAATAATGGTCTGAGTTTACACCCCGGAGAAGCAGCGGATTA